CCTTAAAAACTTGCGTCAAGTCAGAAACATTGAAAAAGTTTAAAGCAATCAAGACATACAAGAGACTGAATTAACCATCTGTCTACCAATTACTAGTGGATGTTTAAAGGGTTAAAATGATGTATATTATAAATTATTAAGAGAATCAATATTGTAACATACTATCTCTACTAGTAATGGTTGTCATATCATTAATATTCTAGATATTTATATAGTTTTCTCTAGTGAAACATCTACCCTAGTTTATAGTTTCAACTTTATTGTTCAGTTAGTTCACAGCAAAATATTCAAAAAATTGATGAGTACATCACATATTCAGATATTTATACAACAATAGTGGATTTGTGAGATCATTACATGAACAGTTCATTAGTGTGAACTTATATGTTCTGCGAGTAACAGTTAACACATGCTCAATCTGTCAGTGTGAACATTGCAAGTTCTAAAGTGAACAGTGAACATTATAGGCTCAGTCCATTAGTGTGAACTTTGCATGTTCTAATGAACAGTGAACATTATAGACCCAATCAGTTAGTGTGAACATTGCAAGTTCAGTTAGTTTTTGTGAACAGTACAAGATGAGTTCTGAAGAGGAAGAGGTTTTAATTAAAATTTGGTGTTGAATGTTAAAATTTTTTCTGAAATTTGAACTGAAGAAAGAACACATAAGCTTATGTTCTACAGAAAATTTATGTTTCTTTGATATACAATATATACAATACCTAAAATAAAAAGAAGTTAATTTGTAATTTTTGGAAACTTGTTATATGTTTTAAAGATTTAGAACTTGTCTTTTGCCAGATTTCGGGCAATGTTTTAAGTATTTCAGTTATTTTGGGTCAAGCAATACTAATGCTATATAAATCTCTTTTTCAGTCTAAAATACACCAATGGTTACATGGCCGTCTTGCCTTATCACAGCAATCTAGTAGATTTGAATTACCAATGGATATGAAAAATTTGGAAAGTAAGTGACATTTTCATTTTCCTTAGTACTACGGCTTCTGATTCCTTATATTTTTAAAAAATGTTATATTGTAATATTTCTGCGATTATCATTTTCTGTGAGAAATTTCCAACTCACTGCAAAACTTGACAGTAAGAATTATAGAAAAAATTACATGGAGAATTTTTAAAAAAACCATATTTTACAACAATAGCAAAACCAATTCATGAGGATCTTCATCAACAGGTAGTTCATGGCAAGGATAATAACTTAGGCTCACAAGGATCCTGTCCATCAACTGGTTCTTGGCAAAACCTCTTGACATAGATCTTTTCTGGATTTTGCTTTGCCTAGTGATTTAAAGCAGGATTCCTTAGCATCTTGTACTGACCATCTTCAGCTTTTCATTTTGAAATTCTATTTTTAGCTATGTCACCATTAGAATACTTGAGAAGACATTGTGTTATTTCAAACAGACGCCAAAATCTCTATCAAAAAATATTCCTTAAAAATAAAGATAAATCTGGCTTAATCTTACTCAAGGTAAGTGTAGATTAAAGATATTATTGTTCGTATATGACATTCAGAGGTAATTGGATCACATCTGGTCATTGTGGTCATTTTTACCATGACCATTTTTTAAAAGTGACCCACATGAAACTGATTGTAATCTTTTGTTGTTGTGGTATTTGGGTAAGGAGTTATTGCAATATACTAAGAGTAAGAATGGATGGGTAGTGAACAAGTTCAGATGAAACCAAGGACCTCACAATTCCGAGTAATCTACATGAGGTAACCAAGGTGAACAAATAAGGTCAACCATTTAATCTGCTCTGTGAAAAAGTTGGAAAATGTTATGGAATCATACCTGACACCCAGAATCTTGGAGTTTCCTAAACCAGCAACTGTCTGATCTTCAGTCAGTTGATTTTTTTTTCTTGATTATTGGATTGGAATATATCAATTTCTTGTGATGGATTTGGAATGATTGAGGCTCATTTGGAAATGTGTTTATACAGAGGGTAAATACTAATTAGGGCCAAATTTGTTGGGTAAAATGCTGTTAATTCCAAATGAAAAGATGTTTTATAATGAACTAGTAATACTATACATATTGCTTGTATCTGAATTTCCTTATCATGTCAGTGAACATGAAAGCTGTGATCAAACATTGGACCATCATGTTATCTACAATAGAATTGATATCTATAATATTACAATATTTCAGGATTTAGAGAAAGGATTAAATGATGTTCTAGTCAATGGTATTAATAGTGAACAGTTAGAAGAATTTAGTCGCCTACTGTTAATACCTAATGATGTTAAAATAGATTGTAGATTATTCTCTTGTATAGCTGCTGTTGTAGAGAGATTACTTTATCCTAAATTCTTGTAAGTACCATCTTTAATTTTAATTTACTTGCTAAATAGGTTATATCAATGCATAGGTTATTCTGTGTGGTTATATCAATGCATAGGTTATTCTGTATTTTTATATTAATGCATAGGCTTATCTGTATTGTTGTATCAGTGCATAGGCTATTCGATATAGTTATCTCAAAGCATAGGTTATACTGTATTTTTATCTCAATGCATGGGTAATTCTGTATTTTTATATCAATGCATCATCATCAATGTACCATTATGCTACTACATAGGTTATTTTGTATCAGTATGTCAGTGCATAGGTTATTCTAGGGGATTCTGTATCATTATATCAGTGGATATGCTATACTGTATTTTTTATATCAATACGTGGGTAATTCTGTTTTTTTTATATCAATACATGGGTAATTCTGTATTTTTTATATTAATACATGGGTAATTCTGTATTTTTTATATCAATACATAGGTAATTCTGTATTTTTTATATCAATACATGGGTAAATCTGTATTTTTTTTATATTAATACATGGGTAATTCTGTATTTTTTATATCAATACATGGGTAATTCTGTATTTTTGATATTAATGCATAGGTTATTCTGTAGTTTTATATTAATGCATTGTTATCTCAAAGCATAGGTTATTCTATATTTTTCTCTCAATGCATAGCTTATTCTGTTTTATTTCAGAACTGCTGACACAGCAGATTTACCAGATTTCCAGAAAGAAAAAATAGAATGTGCTGATTTCTGTGCTCTGGATTGGAAATTTCATGGAGTTAAAGTTAATCCTCCTACAGAAAGACTAATCAAATCTATCCAAGCTGTGGGATAAATGAGATGAGTGTACCAGTTAATGTGGTAAAGATTATACATTGGGATTAAATGGATTAAGTAATATCTGATTACTCCAAATTGAAAAAAAAAAATTGCAATTTTTCGAGAGATAAGTTGTTGATAAAACTGTGATAAATATTATTTATTTTTTATGTAAAATGTTATAAAGAATAACTTGTTATATTTTGTGTATTGTATTTGTTATATTTATGTGTATTGTATTTGTTATATTTATGTGTATTTTTGTATTTGTTATATTTATGTGTATTGTATTTGTTATATTTATGTGTATTGTATTTGTTATATTTATGTGTATTGTATTTGTTATATTTATGTGTATTTTTGTATTTTATATTTATGTGTATTGTATTTGTTATATTTATGTATATTGTATTTGTTATATTAATGTGTATTGTATTTGTTATATTTATGTATTTTGAATGTTAGTGCTTGTAAATATTTATTAAATTATTTCTTTATTAAAAATATGTTGATCTTTAACTGAGTAGAGGAGCAGGTATGTGTTGTAAATAATATTTGTTTGAACCCATGTAGATAAATCAATACAAAGTTCATGACAAGGGTCATGGTTAATGGGATAAAACATTTATCTTCAACGTTTATATATATATTAATTCATAACTTTATAACTATGATATTTGGTAATATAGTTGATAGAAGTGGTTAGCGTCCATTGTCTTATAAAAAGTTCAATGAAAAAATTGTTATATTATAAAACAACTTATAAAATCTGCATTTTTTTATGGAATAAAAGGTATCGTCAAGTATCGATACACAATGTCATGATTCGATACGCGTATTGTGACATGTATAATGATACATCGATTCACTGATGTATCGTGCCAGTACTAAATAGGGGGCTAAAGGACTTAATGGGTGGAAAACTATTGAGGAGCAGAATCACAATGTGGCAGTTCTGCTGAAGCCTCCCATGGAGAGTCTCGGTGGGTTCTCCTCAAGAAAACAGAAATATTTTGGAGCAAAAACGTATAAAAATAATATTTTAAAAATTGTTATGAATAAAAATTACCCTAAACATATAAGTTATGAAAAGACAGACATAATATTAATATATGTTTAATACAGTTATATAAAACAACAATTATAATGATAAATATAATATATAATATAATGTTAATATTTAGATTATATAAATATCAATTACTTATCACAGAATTTATGGAATGTTTACAGATAATAATATTGCAAAAAATATATCCTCACATAATAAGGCTAGAAATTTGATATCAGGAGAGAAGAATATCTTCAATATGAAATATCTCTGTATAAATGTCTAGCATTATGAAGTTTTAACATACAATTATATAATATAATTAATATTTTATTGGATGGAGAACTGATAAAGGTACATGTAATCATACCACAACTTTACTGAACTTAAGGTTACTAGTGGACCTCAGAGCAGCAGATGCCATTCTGTAAATTGGTTTGTCATCTTGGCAAACCTTTCGAAACGTCCACTTTTTTCAAATTTTTCATGCAGTATATTTATCACAAAAAAAAAGAAACAGAGTATATCAACTTTATATCTCATGAGTAGCACAGTGATAGCACTATTCACAACTCTAATAAGAGGCATGACATGAAAAAAGCAAAGACAACCATTTACTTTATTCATGGGTCAAAATATGTAATCTGTAAGAGTAATCTCCCTTTCCAAAATAGTATTAGAACATAACGAAAAACTTTTTGAAAGGGAGACAATTTGAACTATATTCCATCTCTTGAATGAAATTCAAAATGGTATTCACTGTATGCTTGACAACGAGCATATGATGAACTACTAGGGTTTTGTATTTCTAAAAGATTAAAATTTTGCCACATGTAAACTTAATTTAAAAATGGCAGTAACATCTTCAACAGCACCAGATAAAAAAAATGGAGCTTAATTATGCACTAGTAAAATAAAGATGATGTACAACATTTTATCTAGAAGATCTAAAATGAACAGATGGTGATGCACTACGTTGGTTATAACTTCTATTCAGTTGATTATAAGCTCTTTCTAAATCCAGTAGTTCCTGTAACAAAATTTTTAAAATGATAAATTAATTGAAGAGTGCACAGAAAACTATACTAGCCAAAGGTGGGCAAAGACAGAAATAGAATTAACTATTGGATTAAACAAGACTGCTTCACATTACAAAATTGTAACTTTCAGTATTTGTCAAATATATTCAGGAAAACTTAGATAAACTTTTTCAAGGGATACTATGTCTTAGAAAGAACATAAAATTTTAAAATTTTAACTTGGCCAATATATTCATTAGTAGATATACCTA